TGAAATGTAGGAGTGGGGGAGAGGGGGGTTGCAGGAGGTGTTGATGGTTGTGTGGAGAGATGTTCAGAGCGGGTGTTGGGTGTTAGACTGGGAGTTTCAAATCTACAGTAAAACCCATTCAGGTCTTCAGCAAGTTGTTGATTGGCCTCAGTGCTGGGGGATGGTGTCTTGTAGTTGGTGATGTCCTTCAGGCCTTTCCACACTGATGCAGGCTCATTCGCAGAAAACTGGTGTTCTAGTTTTTTAGCGTAGTTCCTCTTGGCCACTCTAATCTCCTTATTCAGTGTGTTTCTGGCCTGATTGTACAAGACTCTGTCCCCCCTTTTGTAGGCGTCCTCTTTGGCCTGACGAAGTTTTGCTGTAAACCATGGCTTATCATTATTGAATGTTAAATGAGTCCTGGTAGGGATGCACATGTCTTCACAGAAACTGATATATGATGTTACAGATTCCATGATCTCGTCCAGATCGTTGGTGGCTGCTTCAAAAACACTCCAATCAGTGCAGTCGAAACAGGCTTGCAATGCCTGCTCTGTTTCGTTGGTCCATCTCTTTACAGACTTTACTACAGGTTTAGCAGATTTAAGTTTATGCCTGTAGGTCGGTATAAGATGAACCAGGCAGTGGTCAGAGAGTCCTACAGCTGCTCTGGGGACAGAGCGATATGCATCCTTTATTGTGGAGTAACAATGGTCTAGTATACTGGACCAAATTTGGTACCAAACGACATTACTGTCTCTGGTGGGACATGTAACATGCTGTCTGTATTTTGGCAGTTCACGGGAAAGATTTCCTTTATTAAAGTCCCCGAGAATGATTAAAACAGAGTCCGGGTGTTGTTGTTCTGTCTCTGTGATCTGATCAGCGAGTTTCTGTAAAGCTGAGCTCATGTGCGCTTGCGGAGGAATGTAAATACTCACGAGGATGAACGAGTGAAACTCCTGCGGTGAATAGAACGGCTTACAGTTAATGAAAAGCGCTTCTAGATCGGAACAGCACATCTTCTTTAACGTTGTAACATCTGTACACCACCTTTCGTTGATGTAAAAACATGTCCCGCCACCGCGTGATTTCCCCGTTGATTCTGCGTCACGATCCGCTCTGAACAGCTGAAAGCCCGGGAGACTCAACGCGCTTTCCGGAATGGCATCATTCAGCCAGGTTTCCATGAAACACAAAGCAGCAGAGTGTGAAAAATCCTTATTTGTCCGGGAGAGCAGAAGATGTTCGTCCGTTTTGTTGGGTAGAGAGCGGAGAATCGACAGATGGATGCTCGGCAACGGCGTTCTGAATCCACGCTTCCTGAGCTTCACGAGCACGCCGGCTCTCTTCCCCCGTCCGAGCGTCCTGAAGCGCTTGATCAGCGCAGCAGCTCCGCCGACTACAACGTTCAGCAAAACGTCCAAATAAATGAAATCCGGTAGAAGATCGTATGGTGTGTTCTGCCGAATGTTCAGCAGCTCATCCCTGGTAAAACTGATCGTGTTTGAGAAACAAAAAACAGGAAAAACTAACAAAAACAGTAAAAGTTTCCTAAAACCTTTCCCCAACACTGGTCTTACACACTACAGCCTCACGTTTGAGTCACGTCTCTGGGCGGAACGGTGTAAACTAGTGTTTTTCCTGGATGCCTCGCCAGAGCCATTTACCAGCACTTGATTTAGGCACATCAAGCATGCTGCACACTTACTGGCTCACTAACATTGTCCAGATTAGCCCTTTAGGCATCGAAATTTGGTACCAAACGACATTTTTCGATACTCGATAGTTTCGAGGCAATTCTGTCGGTGCCTAAAAAGTATTGAGCTCAATACCCAGCCCTAATAATTACAGTATTGTCTTTGTCTCATATTTGATGATGTTTGCATCATTGATTCTGTTACTTTCCTGTTTATTACAGTGAAGCTGCTTTGCTTATATAAAGCACTATATAATAAAGGTTATTTGATGTAACTACTAGGGATGCGCCGATCCGATATTCATATCTGGTATCGGCTCCGATAGTGCCATTTTTCTCGGATCGGGTATTGGTCAGAGAGAGCCGATCCAAATCCGAGAATTATTTTTTTCTCGATTGTGCGAATTATTCTGTGTTATTTCTGAAGCCATACGATAGCTTAATGTGAGCTACATATGAATATTTAAGTCCTTACATTAAAGTTCACACAAACTCTTGTCTCTGCTGTGGCTGTCAGTCATTCATTCAGCCTTTAAACCCTGGTCGCGTTCGGTTACAGCAGTCAGCTCGGTAAAGCTCTCTCCAAGATCATTCGGTGTTCCCATTATACTTGATTTGTAAATACATGTCTATGATTTTGCAAAAAGGACTTTATCTTCTTGCCGGAGTTTAATGCGGTTTTGTTACTTGCTACCGGGTGTCTGTGAGAACAAAACACGGGCGTAGAAAAGACTATCAATAGTTTTTAACGTGCACAGTAACTGAAATTTAAAACTGTTAAAAGAAAGGCTCAATAACTGTTGCACAGATATAATACACTAAGCATTCTCTTCCCTTTGTGCTTTGCAGTTTTTAACACGAAGCACTTACAATGTGCGCACATTGTAAGCGCTTCGTGTTCATTGACTGTCAACCCTCTATATTGCGAGTAAATCACTCACAAATGCGACTAAATCTTCACTCTGGGCGACTAAATGATGTCTAATATTAGCCAATGGCTAATAAATTCTCAGATTTTACTCGCCAGTGTGTGAGTTGGAGGCTGAGTATATGATTAGCACAGATATATTTTCACTCACAGAACACTCTGACTGAGTTTCACTCTCCGTCAAGCGATCTGTGATGTTTTTCAGTTCATTTGAATGGATGCGCAGCGCACCTGTGTTTGTGTATTTGGCGTAACGTAAACTAGTGTGAAGGCGCACGACTCGCCGTCGCTTTCTCTCAACCCGCGCAAAGAGCGAGAGCGAGCGAGAGTCTTACGTAACATGCAGAATTGATGCGCTACATGTAAACGATATACTCTGTTGTATTTTTCTGTAAAAATAACAGAGCTCCTTTGGAATTCTTCAGCTTTTAAGAACTGCCGGGTTTTCCTGTAGTAGGCGGAACTAATGCGCAAACAACAATCTCATTGGCTGGTGCTCACCTATTATCGTCCCTGCTTTGATTTCAGCGAATCAGTTCGAGTGAACACACAACCCGATTAATATTCATGAATCCAGTAGCTCATTAATCCTTAGTGCGTTTTTATATTGTTCTTATTAGTAGAATTCGTATAATAATAATAATAATAATAATATCTTATCAGTATTATTGTTCGTTTTTTTTACAGGAACACTGAATGACCAAAAAAAGCACCAGCACCAGTCCTAAGTTCATGGTTACCAAGTTTTAATTCTAATTACTAAACTTCTATTATTAAATAATACTTGATTATCATATTATAACGCTTGACTGCTTGACTGACTGATATTAAGAGTGTACTTTCAGATATTTAAAAAGCTGTACCATTTTTACAAACATTATATATGTTTGTAAAATGGCATAACATTATATATATATATATATATATATATATAGGTGTCTGTTGAGGGTTGACTGTATAAAAACAGTTCGTGCTGCACTGTATTTGTTTTGTCCTATCGTATCATATGTTGTTGCCTTAAAATATGCTATACATTTAAAAGAAATGCATTTTAATTTTATAGTATATACAGTACTTGTATATAAATACATTCATGAATGTTTTTTAAGAATGGATTTTATAATTATACAAATAGCAATGTGTAACATTTTACCATATTTAGTGCAACACTTTTATTTGTTTTATTTGTACTTTTATTTTTTTCACTAAATGTTTGGATTTCTAAAATTATTGTGCACTGATTTTTCTAGAATAACTTTTGCTGCCGAATTATCCACTAACCTAGTTTATGATAATTTTTTGTCATAGATTATAAATATACATAGGCCTATATTTTTTCATATTTGTTTATTTTATTTTTCTTTATAATGAAGTAGTCTGTATCTAGTAGTTTGTGAAAGAATGATTATCAGTTCCACACAGAGATATATAAATTCTACATTTATTTAAATGAGGGAAAAAAACTTCACTGGTATCGGATCGTTATCGGCCAATACCGAACCCTAGGTATCGGAATCGGTATCAGAGGCGAAAAAGGCGGATCGGAGCATCTCTAGTAACTACTTGACCAAAAAAGCAGCTTGACTGTAGTTTAACCACTTAAAATTTTGACAAGCATTTACCTACCCTGCTATAGGCTGTATAGGATTATTCTCTAGCTTTCTCTTTATAAAAAAGAAAAAAAGTGTGAGAGAGAATGAGAGAAATCAGCAGGGGAATCTGGGATTTCAGGCATGGTAGGAATTACTGAAACAGGCCGGTAGTGGAGAGCAGGCCCATCTAAATTCCAGTAATTCCTTAAACCAAAAGGAAATGGAAGGCGAGTGGGGGGAAACTGTTCGTCTAGTAAATGGTAATACAATTTGACATGGGTGCCATTTTCAGTGATTTGGGAGAGGAAATGCGAGCCCGTGTGATGTTGTCTTACCACTGAGCAGGGGGCGGTTGAGGGAGAATTGCTGGGGCAGGTCTTCGATATCAGCAATCCGCTGGTACATGGCTCTGGAGAGATGATCACCGTGATACAGGCTGCCCAGGATGATGCTGGAGAAGTAGATGGGCTCAGTGAAGTAGCTCATCAGAGAGCCCTGGATGCCCACCACGTTCCACCTGCAGGAACAAGCCCACGCACCTCACATCAGTGTCCAGATTTTATACTGGCATCAAGCGGCAAACTAACACAAACTTTTAAAAAGACTGTTCAAAAAGTAACTATAATTAATATTGTAATTTATTCATATTACTATGAACTGCATAGACCCAACAGTATATGCAGATAAAGTTAGAATGAAAATGGATGATGGAAAATAGATTGAGTTAGACTGGACACGCAACAATAAAAGATATGAAAGCAAAGTTGATAAGCCTATTTATTTTGTGCAGTTATTATTCTTATTATATTAACTTATTATTTTCTTATTATTGAATTCAATTACAATATAATTATTTTATACATTTTTACATGCATGTATTAACCCCTGCTGTACGCAACCCCATCAAAACAGACCCATAACCCATTTTTATTATCATAAATTATAATTCATTTAATTATTATACATTTTTTAAATATAATTATTTTATAATTTCATATTATTGGGATTTTGCATTGATTTTCCCCAGCCATACGTAAACCCACCAGAACTGACCTGTGGCCCATTTTTTATATAATTATGATTAATTTAATTTAATTATTACATTTTATTACAATATAATTATTGTATAATTTTATTATTGCCATTTTGCATTGTTTTTCCCCGTTATACGCAGCCTCGTCAAAACAGACCTGCAACCCATTTTTATTGTAATTAATTATTACTAAATATAATTAATTAACTTTTTTATTGACATTTTGCATTGTTTCATCAGTTTTATCATTGACATTTTGCATCATTTTCCCCCTACATTCACAACAGACCCACCCAATTTGATTTAATTATATAACTAATTATAATTAATATTGAATTTAAATATAATTATTTTACACTATTTTTCTTCTGTTGAATGGAAACCCATCAAAACAGACTTGCAACCCATTTTTGGATCCTGGCCCACCACTAGACACACTGACTGCACCGTTATTGCACTGACTCTTATTTTTTCTTTCGTTTGTTAATAGCCTGAAGTTTTTCCAGCAGTTTGACATAATGAAACACCTCTGGAATTCCTAATCTCACTCCATCTAAAGCGCTGTAAAAAAAAATACCATGTACAGGCAGATGGAACATGAGTCAATCATGAACTACAAGAATCACAAAAAAAAAAACTGAAATCTGGCCAGAAGCCCAGATGTGAATGATTTTCAGCAACAGTGGAAGAATTGTTCAATTAGTGCTGTTCTTCCAAACCACCTCATTTACGTCTTCACAGGTCCCAGACTCACCCACTGGGTCTCCCTCCTCTGCCGTACACAATCAAAAGGCCTAATCAAGCTCAAATCTGCTCCCCAAAACAACACCTGCTGTATGCAGCTGAGAAGAACGCAGACTCAAGTGATTGGAGTCGTTCTCTTCAGTCTGACCAATAAACAGCCTCAGACGCCAATGAGACACAGTCCAACTTTTGCTACTCTTAATAAGACTACTTTGTTAGCGATGCACTTCTCTCCTGTAACCAGAAAACTCTGCCGCTTATTCAGTTTCTGATGGAGGATATCTACCCTACTTGCTAATTTACAGAATTGTTGACAGTAACCTGGAAAACGTGACAAATCCAGTGATGATTTCATCCCTAAAAGCAAATCAAACAAAAAGTGATTTTCACATAGTACTTGTGAGTTTTTGTGTGTAATATGCGGCCAGTGAATGTACTTTGGGTGGTTGTCTGAGACTAGCCAAGTACAAGAACATTTGATTCTGGCCGTAAGACAAGAGCGCTAATCAAAAGAACTGTGATACATAAAAAGCAACAAGCAACCTTTAAGTTAAAAATCCAGTGGAACAATTCAGACTAATGATATAGATTATTTAGCAAAGATGCATTCAATTAATCAAAAGTGACAGTAAAGATTTTTACTGATGATTTCTGAAGGATCATGTGACACCGAAGACTGAAATAATGGCTGCTGAAATGACATCACAGAAATAAATTATATTTTAAAATATGTGAAAAATTTAAGGGGGTCTGAATACTTTCCGTACCCACTGTATATATATATATATATATATATATATATATATATTTTTTTTAATATTCAAAAACATTATATATTATTTACTAATAATTATAATATTAAATGTGAATAATTCAATAATGTTTTTGCCTTTAATAAATGTTAAAGACAATAAATGTGTTTAATTCTTTAACTCTAAATTTTTTATTTATAATTATTATTAGAATGATAATTTAGTAAACTAATTTAAAGTCAAAATTAAAAAAATTATTAAAAAATACATTTGCAGTTATTTATTTCAGGGTTTTTCTACATTTAATTTGGTTCTAAATTAGTGTAAGATAACAACAGGAGAGTAGTGCGGTGGCCGAGAAGTGCAAAGCAAATCACAATTCTGAAAACAAAATAACAAACGCAAATGCAAGTCTAAAAAACAAAATAACAAGTCAGAAAACACAATGACAAATCAGACAAACCGGAAGAGGTAGGTATAGTTTGAGACAGCACCATTGGTTTGGGATTACTCACCGCTGACTGGACGAGACATCTGTCAATCAACGTATACAGGGAAGAACCAGCCGAAGAATAGCAGAGTCGTGGCAGAAAGTTCGGAGATGGTATTAAAGTAGCTCAGTTTAAATGTATTGTATGAATTGCCCTTACTATGGAATAAAAAATATGGGGTGTCTATTTACATTTAGTTAAAAGTGGTTGTAAATCATCAGTTCCAGTGGCGCAGATGGATTAGCACGTGTCGTTGGCTTTTGTGACGCGATCAACCCGGGTTCGATCCCGCCTTTTGCCAAACTTTTTTTCCCTCCCTTTCAAATCTCGTATCACATCGTAAAGGCCATATACTTCGTAGACATCCTTAATCTCTAATAACTCCATTCTGCTGTCTGTTATTCTGTGTTTCATTGTTTGAATATGGCGCTCATCACATGCTGTGTGGTATCGGCGTTTGGTATCGGGGCATTTTAACGAGTACAGGAGCTCAGTATCGGGCCCGATACCAGTATTGGTATCGGTGCATCCCTAGTTATGTTTTCTGAATTGTTGTTGTGCTTTCTGAATTGTTTTGTTTTTTAGACTTGCATTTGCGTTTGTAATTTGTTATTTTGTTTTCAGAATTGTGATTTGCTTTGCACTTCTCGGCCACCGTAGAGTAGTGACCAGGAAGAGGGTTTAAACACAGACAGACAGATTTCACTGAACCAAACAACACTACTGTTTATTACAGCTACTGTTATCCTTATCATTATTCAGGCACGGGTGGCTCAGCACCTCCCATGAAAAATTCACAGGAACACCCTCCACCTGCCATGTCCCTGTTTGAGACCTACATCTGGTCATGTTACTAGCAGAGCAGGTACAGACTGACGGATGAGACACAGAGTTCTATCAACACCACACACTCATTCATCTCAGCAGATGGGCTGCTTTTCCTTGAGTGTGAGCTCTGAACATCACTTCTGCTGTGTGTGAGTGTGTCAGACTGTCCCTGAGCAACACATAAACCAGCCCAGCCCTGACTTAACACCGCTTTCCTATGAAAATCAGAGCGATAAACGGAAACAATCTGATATAAAACAGACACTGGAAACGCTCACTGCCTGTCACAATTCATCAACTGATACTTCTCTATATAGACGCTAATACATACAATATATATGTATTAAAGAGATAGTTCACCCAAAAATAAAAATTCTAGTATTTTTTCCCCCACACTATAGAAGTCAATGGCTACTGTCAATTGTTTTGTTATCAACATTACTCAAAATATCTTCTTTTGTGTTCAACAGAAGAAAGAAACTCATACATTTACTCAGAACTTGAAGGTGAGTAAATGATGCAGGATTTAATTTTTTTGGGTGAACTATCCCTTTAAGCACTGTTAACGAAGTTTAACTGAGATATAATTTTGTTATTGTTTTTATTAATATTTTGAATCAGTATTTAACTAACGTTTTAGCAATTTTAATAGTTTTTAAATATATATCTATATAGGTTTTATTCATTTTTAGTTTTTGATATTTTAGTATATCAAGTTAAACTAAATTTAACTAATATATACAGTGGGTACGGAAAGTATTCAGACCCCCTTCAATTTTAACTGAAGTATATATATTTATTTTGTTTCAAGTAATGGAAATGGTTTTATTTTTAGTTTCAGTTTTAGTTTTCTTAAACTATAAAACCCCTGGTATTAAGGAGGTTAACCCTAATATATTTATTTTTCATTAAGACGCTAAAATATAATTTACAGTGAATAATAACAAATTTCAATCTGTTCCTCAAACAAAGCTATTGTATGACTGCTGAAGACTTGGAAGAGTCAAATGTATATATTCTTTTATTGCATTTTTTTGTCATGCATGGAGACTAAACTGTCTTGACAATCACAATCCCCATCCTATCATCTGTCATTCATCTCCTTCAGAATTACAAAGAAAAACAATAAAAAACAAAATCAAAAATTTATGGAATGAAAAAAAAGATCAAACTAAATTTTTTTTTGGTGGGATCATTTCTTTAATATTGCTTGTACAAAGCAATTTTGCAGTTTTATTTTTGGATTAAAAACAAAAAAAAAATGAGAAAAAGTAGTTTTGTAGTTTCAATGGGGGAACCTAACATAAATAACTAAATAAATGAATAAACACAAATGAATAAAAATAAATAGAGACTGCAGGATGAGGATGATATATACAGTATGTAGTATTGAGTGACAGTAAGTGTGTGTGTACAGAGGAGGTATTCTCTCATTAGCAGAGACAGGACCTGTGCTCTCCGGTCACAGCTGTCTCTGACACATCCTTATCTGTCCACTCACAGCTGCTGGGTGGCAGGAGATGCCACACTGACCCCACAGGATGAATGAATGCTCCCTCCTATACTGCTAATGCACTCTTCTTTTAACTAGGGTTATGGTAATGTTGAACCCATGCATTTCTTTCCCTGTCAATTATGAAGTCCGGTAAGAGCCAATGGGCAATTAAATTCATAAAGCCCTTGTTCTCTTCCCAGCAGTGACAGGCACAGCTTCCACCTAGTGAAGAGAGATTAACCAGAAGGTTCTAGACTAATGCTTTTGCTGAGCTGTCCGTTATTCTAATAAAGAGGGCTGACAATAGCGCCGCTCCAAGGGTAAGGGAGCTGCCTAACTAGACAGCATTTCAGAAGTAAAGGTAGGAAGAACATTATTCTCATTATAACTGTAAATATATCATTACAATCGAAGAAAGCATTGCGATGAGCTCAGCAAAGAGAATTGTAATGCATACTTATTTCATGAAATAGCAACAAGTAGCATTTTTTAAAATCTAAATCAGATTTTTAGCAAATAGTGTCATTATCTTAGTAACATGCTAATGGCAATCAGTTCAGGGCTCAAAATAAATAAAAATTACCAACTAATATTAAACATTTAATAATATTTTATATATATATATATATATATATATATATATATATATATATATATATAT